GAATCTGACTGGAAAGGTAGGAAAAGGTTCCTCAGGCTGTGAGGAACTTTAATGTCAAATAGAGGTGCTTATATTTGATCCTATAGGCAATAGGGAGCTCTTGAAATTTACTGAGTAGAAGGTATATATGGCAATGTCAGATCTATGTTTTAGGAAAGTCATTTTGGCAGTGGAGGTTGGATTAGAGTCAAGAGAGACATGAGGCAGGGAGACTCATGAAACTCATGTTGCAATAATCCTGGTGAAAAGCGATGGGGGCCTGAACTAGGGTGTAGACTGTGTGAGTAAAGAGAAGGGGACATAGAAGAGAGATGTTGTGAAGGTAGAAGTGATAGAATTTAAAAACAGATTGGATATGTGGGTAAGAGTGAGGTATTTTTTATTTTAAAATTTATTTTATTTTTAATTTATGGAATAAAACAAGCATTTCCATAGCATAGTATAATAAAAAAGATGATTGCACATGAAACTGCTAATCTATTATGTATAACTTGTTATTTCTTTTAAATATATGATAAAATTATCATGTAAATTTTTCTTTTTTCTTTCTTTCTTCCCCTCCACCCTAGAGATGGCTATCATTAGACACACATATATGTATATGTATATATGTACATATGTAAAGGTACTGAGGATGGTAAGAAAGTTGCTAGCAACTGTGCCTGGAAGGCTGACAGGATCCCAAACATCTGTAATAAAATTCATAAAAAAAGGAGAATTTTTGAAGAAAGATGGATTCTGTTTTGGTCAGGTCAAGTTGATCTTTGCTTTAACAAGAAAGTAGTCTGACTCTTTACAGATCGCTGATTCTGGAGTGACTTTTATGTCAATAATGAGCCATTTCCTATCTATTAAAAATAATTAAATTCTTTGTGATGTTATTCATCATGTCTAGTACCTTTCATCTTTTTTTTTCTTAAAATAAATATTCATGGACCTGAAGCAGGAGTGTTCTTTGGTCTCTCACATTCTTTATTACTGATCCATTACATTTGTTTCAACTTTTGTGTTGAAGAGGCAGTGTGGAATAGTGGATGGAGCACTGGGCTCGGAATCAGGAGGACCCAGGTTCATTGCATATTCTACACTGCCTCAAGACACTTGCAATCTGTGGGAACCTAGGCAAACCCCTTAACCTTTTTGTGCCTTAGTTTCCTTATATATAAAAATGAGGGAGTTGGACTCAGTGACCTCCAAAGTTCTTTCTAATTTTAAATCTATGATGCCAGAAGTTACCAGGCATGAGAGGGATAGTGATTGGACCTGTGACTTCCTAGAGATTTATGGAATTACCAGATGAGGAAAACTCTTCCACCAACCCAGGTCAGAGTTGTCTAAATACTGAGAGGCTAAAGGACTTTGCCAAAGGCCACAAGGCTAGTATATGCCAGAAGTAGGTCTTCCTGATTCTAAGGCCAACCCTGTCCATTATTCCACTGCTGACTCTAAGCTTTAATTTTTTTTGGGGGGGGGGAAACAGGGGTTAAGTGATTTGCCCAGGGTCACACAGCTAATAAGTGTTATGTGTCTGAGGCCGAATTTGAACTCAGATACTCCTGAATCCAGGGCTCTATCCACTGCGCCACCTAGCTGCCCCTCTAAGCTTTAATTTGGAGGATCTTACTAGTTTCTTTGGGCAACTAGATGGCAGAGTGGATAGAGTGCTATGCCTAAAGTCAGAAAAACTCATCTTATTGACTTCAAATCTGGCCTCAGATATTGACTAGCTGTGTGACTTGGGGCAAGTTACTTAACTCTGTTTCCCTCAGTTTCCTCATCTGTAAAATGAACTGGAGAAGGTAAAGACAAACTATTCCAGTATCTTTGCCAAGAAAACTCCAAATGGGGTCATGAAGAGTCAGACACAACTGAAAAATGACTAAACAACAACACTAAGTTCTTTGAAGAATTTATGTATCTTTGCATATTTTACAGCATGTGTTTTATATAAATTGAGATATTTTTGATCACAGGCTTCTTCAAAAACTTACCATGAGTACTGCGATCTGAAATGAGTAAATGCCCCATAAAATGAAATTTCTTTTTGCTTTGGGTAGCACAGGATACAACCAACTCCATAAACTCTTTTATATTCTTTTTCAAGGAGAACCTGACACTCATCTTCTCAGTAACATGTTCCTTCTTTCTTCTGGTTGTTTATTCTGAGAATGTCTAGTTAATAGAATTCAGTTCTTCCACTGGTAACAACAAGAACACATTTGCAAAGCAATTTACATGTATAATCTCATTTGATGAGTGAATCTATTTATTGTTCACTGGATGGGGATCTCACAGAGTATTAGTATGTGTGCACGCGCGGGCACACACACAATTGTTTTTCAGTAGTGTCCAACTCTTCCTGACCCCATTTGGAATTTTCTTGGCAAGAATACTGGAGTGGTTTGCATTTCCTTCTCATTTTATACATGAGGAAACTGAGGCAAGAAGGGTTAAGTGACTTGCCCAGGGTCACACAGCTAGTAAATTTCTGAGGTCAAATTTGAACTCAATTCTTCCTGACTCCAGGCCTGACAATCTATTTATTGCATCATCTAGCTGCCCCTACACCCACAACTAAGTTAATGTTTATAGAAAGTATGAGGTGCCTAGATTCTCTGCCCTCATTTACTCTACTCTACCACCATCACTATAGATGGGTAAGGGGACTTCTAGGTATTGAAGGCCATTTTGGATTTATCTTTATTACATGATCTGTCATAGCCAATGTATTCATCACCAAGTAACCAGCTTACTAGTGATGAACCTCTCCATTTATAGCCAGCATGGCCTTCAGAAATTAGATCCAGTCTGTTGATAGGGCCATACTCAAAGCTCTTCTACTGTATTAGAACTTCATAGAACTTGCATTCAGTCAACAGTCTTGGAGAACCTAGGGTGATAAGGCAGGCATCAGTGTAGGAAGTTGTAGATGCATAAAATACCCAATAGAAACCATGTATTTATACCTACTGTCTGATAAATGTGTGTGTTTGTGTGTAAGAGACTCATATGTTATCTTATTTTGATACTCACCACAATCCTGTGAGGTAGGTGCTATTATTATCCCAATTTTATAGATGAGGGAACTGAGACTAAGAGGTTTTAACCTCTCTGCACTTAAATTAATGGGACTAAAACCTAGTAAGTTACATAACTAATAAGTGTCTGAGGCAGCATTAGAACTCAGTCTTTCTGACTCAGAGTTCATCTGCTATGCCACCTAGTTTTCTCTGTATATGGAATTATTTTGTGATATTTTACTGCTTTTTAAAAAATCTTTTTCCCTTTTTTATTTTTTTTAAAATGTTACTGTTTTTAAAAAGAATTCTTCCTGTTCATATAATTTATTCATATAGCTCACATTTTCATGTTATGTAACATAATTGTAGTGTCTCTTTGCCCTTTGTTCAAGGTTAAAATGCATTGTTCTAATAATATTTAAGGATTCCTAGGGTAGCTTTAAACTTACTCCTTGAGAGGAAAAACCAGTTCTTTCTTCCTGTAAAAGTGGCAAATCCCATGATGCCTAATGCTATCACCTGGCTGTAAAATCTCACTAGGTTAGCTTAGAAGGAGGATAGCAGAAACCTCTTCAGTATTACTATGATGTTTCACTAGTCTGGTGGTAGGTGGTTACTGATGGTTCCTCAGAGGGCAATTCAAAACACAAACAGCAACAAGCAAAATTGAACTCTTTTTCAAGACACTGTGGTAGTAATATGAGCTGAGATAGGATGGCTGCTATGACTGTTTAGGTGTGAATTTCTGTAAAGAAAGGAGAGAGGAAGAAGGGGAATGAACAGTTGGTTTACCTTTAATTTGTGCCCTTTAGTGCCTACTGCAGCTCCTGGCACATAGTATGCATTTTGTGAATTCTTATTGATCATATGCCTACAAGATTGCTTAGTTTATAGTATCCTTCTTGGTATGAAGGTAGAAATAGAACCTAACAATTATCAAGTAATTATGTAGGGTGTTTTCTTCTTAAAGTTCAGTACGCTCAAATATTAGAAGTAAACATGGTCTCCACAAATTAGAATATAATTATATTAAAGAAGATTGAATTTTGTATTAAAAGTTCATATTTATTAGTTTTCTCTCTCTTAATTTCCCCCCCTCCTTTTTTAATTTTTTAAGAGAAAAAAGAAACTCAGTTTAGCAATAAATGCAATCTCAGTAAATATTACCTTTACTACAGATGTTTCTGTGTGATGTTTTTATCGTTTATAGAGGTGTCCCTCCTACTCTGCATGAGGAAATTCTAGAACACGGAGTCAGGAAACATCTTCTGTGGGAATGATGGGATTCTTTTAGAAGTAGCGTTCTCAAGCAGATTTTGGTAGTAAAATAGAGAACTACAAAGAAGAGTGGGCAGCTAGGTGGTGCAGTGGATAGAGTGCTGGGCCTGAAGTCAGAAGACTCATCTTCCAGAGTTCAAATGTGGCTTCAAACACACTTATTAGCTGTGTGACTCTAAGTAAGTCACTTAACCCTGTGTGCCTCAATTCCTCATCTGTAAAATGAGCTGGAGAAGGAAATAGCAAACTGTTCCAATATCTTTGCCAAGAAAACACCAAATAAGGTCGTCAAGAGTAGAAAATGACTAACAACAACAGAGTAGATAAAGACCGAATGGTTTGCACAATATACGTAGATTATTCTGCAATTGTAATTAAATAGATTATGTAATGTGTAGACTTAGTAATTTAAAGATAATTTATATTTTGCAAAGAAAATTTCACCAATGTAACCAATTGTGGGCTTTTTCTAGCTTGTCATAGATTTTTTTTCTTTTTTTTTTTGGTCAGATGCGTTGTGGAAATGTAGTATTTTCCATGAGAATCTGTCCACCAGACATATTTTGATGGGTTTTTAAAAGCAAAGCATTACAAATTTGTTGAGGCACTTAAAAGAAACATTTCAAGGTATACTGTTGACTTTCTGAGGCTTCTGTTGTTATAGTGCTCTGACTTAATTGGTATTTTTTCTGTTGCCTGTAGGTACACCTTAGTGGATATTTTGCGTGCCATACTTCTTTCTTTGGAAGCCATGATTGAAGATCCAGAACTACAAGTGAATGGATTTGTTCTGATAATAGACTGGAGTAACTTCACCTTCAAGCAGGCCTCTAAACTCACACCGAGCATGCTGAGATTAGCAATAGAGGGCCTCCAGGTAACAATTTATGAAACACACACTCTCCACTGCTTTCATCTCACTGATTCTGTGCTTAACATCTGTAGTGAAACCTAAGGAGGAAGTCCAATGTTCTTATCTAATCCTACATCTAGATTCTCAGTCTGTGTAACTCAATAATATAATTCCCCATAGAAGTCTTTTATATACTTACACAGACTGAAAATATGGAGCTCAATTTATCATTGCAATGTAGTTAGCTCCATGGGAAGGAAGTATGGGGCACAAAAACATTTGGAGTTCCTGTGGCAAAGAACCTTAAAATTTGGGCTGTATTTTTCCTTTTATTGTGATAAGTGTTATGTTTGGTTCTACTTGTATAGAATCAATACAGAGCTCACCAATTTACATGAACTGGGTCATCAAATATGAATTGCTAAGGCAGCTAAATCATAGAATGTCTTAAAATGAATTCTTCTGTAATTCTCACATACAAATTAACATCCTCTTGAACATCGTCTTACACAGATAAAAAAGGGTAAATGCAATCATATTTTCAGTCCAAATATTGTTTAAAGTAGTGGTTCTATACTGGTTTAAAGTGTTTCTGCATGGAAATTTGACTTATTTCTCTACTTAACTTGATATTTGTTAGGCACTGTCAACTGTGTTTTGGCACTTCCTAAATGGATGACTATAAAATCAGACTTTAAGCAAACTTAAAACCTCTTAAAACTGAATATTTTATCTTTATGATTCCCAAGCAATTTGACAAGCTACTTTTAGTTGTGTGGAGACAGCCTTCCTCAATGTTCACGTAGGAATGGCTGCTTACTTAGGAGTAAGATCAATTTTGCTGGATTGCAAAATTATAAAAAAATTATTGGTTAATATCCAGCAAATATCTGTTAGTATCAGGCCTTTTCATTTGTAGAATATCTCCTTGCTTTTTAAAAAAGTTGTTCCTTCTTAGTATAAAATTTTTTTTCTAGTTAAGATGATCAACTCTTTTGAACATTTGTAAAATATTGTGAATATGTAGAGTGCCTTATAAATATTTAATATAAGAGCAAAGTTTTAGTCATGAAAGTGATTTTAACAATGGCATTCCACATTTATTCTCTGTATTTTACAACTTAAATTTATCCATTTGAAAGTTGTTTAGCTTCCTAATCTTTGCCACTGCAGAAGCCAGTTTTTTTTAAATTAGTGAATCTTTCTGACACACTGATACCACTAAAATATGTTAAGCTTTTAATTTCATATTACATAAACCAAAGAATAAACCAAGAAGAATTAAGATTACTGCTCCACAGCAATCAGAGACTATGTCTCTAGGATATTAAATAGATGTTTAGAGACCTCTGAGAGGGTCAGTTCTGACTGTGGAGTATCTTCTTTGAATAAAATTTACTCTTTGGTTTGGTACCCCGGAGTTAGTCAAATAAACTGATTCTTTTTGCTCCTGAGGGGATTTTTCGAGACTCAATTCTCCTCATTGGTTTTCCAGTGAGTCAGGCTTATAACTTGCCTTAGCACCCTTTTTAATTCTGAGGAGACAGACAATGGTGTAAAAACTGGGAGAAGGTATTACTTTTATTAGAGACTTATCTTTAAATCTGCCCTCCTGCTAGCAAGGTGAAAATTCCCTTCAGTCACCAAAACAAATTGTCTTTATCTTTTGGAGTTATATGTGATTCATTATGGAATTACACAGGATGATAAATGACCTATTATTATTGTTATAATTCAGCTTGATTCCCAACCCTTACATCAGAAAGGGTACCAACCATGTGTCCTTAGCTGTAGATAAGAAAATTTGATTTTTTTCTTTGTTTTTTTTTTCCCATGCAAACTTAAAATGTCTTTCAAGGAGAGATCTAGCCAGTAGGTTTTGGCTGCTAGTATGTTCTCTCACAGAGATGCTACCATATGGCATTTCACAGGTGAAAGGAAATTGTCACAAGACAGCCAAGCCACAACAGTGATATGGTTGGAAGATTGCCAGTTGGGTAAGGCCACAGCCATGGCAGTAGCTCATTGGAAGACTGAGTATGGTACATAACAGGAATAACCTCAGTGTTCAGAAGCCATGCTTATACTCTCAGAGAGGAAGTGATTCCATCCCCATCCAGAGACTTACACAGGCTCTTGAGTTTGTACTCTGGGAATGACATCACTATCTGACTTCAACAGCTCTTCAGGGAATAGTAGTAGTCTGAGTGAGAGTATACCTAGCCATAGTGTGATTTGCTTTGATCTTTCTCACAATCCAATTCAGTCCTTCTCTAGTTTAGAGTTTGTTTGCTTAAATGCAGCTTAACTTTGGGAGAGTAAGGAATTGACTTTCATGGTAGGTAGTCAAGGAGTTGCCAAAGTGACCTTAGCTACTAGTCCTGTAGAGCTAAGGACTAAAGTTAAGTCAGGTCCCTCATGGTAATAGATAAATGCTGAACAAATTACCTGTCCTACACATTTCTTCCAGGGCTACTGTTTCTATTTCGTCTGCATTACCCTAGTCAGAGTCTTACAACATAAAAAACCCTTAGAAATTATCTATTTCAGCCACACTTATTTTTATATAACCCATCAGCTCCTACCGCTTTAAGGATTACACATACATGTGAACAAGTCATCTTGTCCCTGTCCTTGCCCTACACGGCCACACCTCTAAGCCCATACCTCTAAGAATTATGCAGGAGAGCTTACTCACCCATGGGAAAGACATGCTGTCCCCCAGTAGACCAGAAGTACTTAGCCCTTTGGTAAGAGAAAAACTCCTTTCTGCTCAGGTTGATAGAAACTCACTTCTCTTTCTAAGTTGCTGATGTATTTGGTGCCGCACAGAGATCTATTAGAACTTGGGAAGCAGCATACATAGTATAGGAGGAATATTATAATTTCAGGAGTCAGAGAACATAGATTTGAATGCTACTTCTTACTACTGTCTTAACCTAGCCCCTTAACATCCCTTGTCCCTAGTTTCTTCATTGGGAAAATAAAGGGTTAGAAATCATCTCTGAGGTTCCTAAATCTATAAATCTATGCATAGATTGAATATTTTATAGCTCGGCCTCCCCACTTGGTCATCATCTCCCTTGGTGAGGCAGTGAGCCTCTTGACATCTGTGCCATAAGCAAATACAGCCATTCTAATCACATTATCGTTATACCCGGGGATTGATACAAACAGATAACATATATGATCAGGTTTGCCTTTTAGCTCCCAATTGACTCTGTCCTAATGATCATGAGCTTTTCTAAATTGTTAATGGGTGCTCTTGTTGGCCTGTATATAAGGTTATAAATTCTGCAGATTATAGCTGTTTTGTCAGTGACCAACAGAGTCCCTTTGACCTTTCCCCCCATTCACCTACTGGGCTAATAATTCGTGTATCATCCATTTAGCTTTCTTTTTCCCCCATGACACTCTCAGGTCAGAATGGAGTCCCCTTGCAGGCCATCTGGGTCCCTTTACTACTCCTCTTTATATTCTCCTGGTCTTAGCTTTCTCTCCTTAGTATCATTAGAAATCTTTATCCTTTTCCTTTCCTGCCTCTTCAACCTCCTCCTCCACCTCAATGTGCATTGACAGAGAAATGAACCTGGGTCAACTTCTTGGAAGTCAATTAAGTTCACCAACATACCATGCTATGCCCAGAGGATATTCTAATAAATGCTGAAAGAACTGTCATTCTAATGGAAACATTGGGTATTCTGAAAATTGAAAGAAGTGGACATCATAGGTCATGAAAGTGTTCCAATGTGATATATATATATATATGTATATATATAATATATATGATTTCCTATTCTGCTGAGTCTCCCTTGTTTCAACTACTTTTTCAGAGCTAGTCTTTTCCTTGACATTTGATTTATTATCTATAATATACTACATTTTATTGATACATGCCACAGATGGAACTGTACTCATAGACACACAACATCATTTTAAAGGTACAAACCCATACAGTGAAATCTCAGAAGAAAAGTGTGAGATTTCAGTTTGCTTTCATCTATAGATTTCGAGAAGTGTTATGCATGGTTTAGTAGATAGAGTCCTGGATGTGGTCAGGACATCCTAGGTTCTTCTACTCTTGCCTCTGATTTTATTTGCTGTATGATCCTAGTCAAGTCAATCTTTTTGTACCTCAACTTCCTTTTTTCTTTTGTAAAATAGGCATAATAACTTACATGGTTGTTGTAAAGATCAAATGAAATAATAACATTTTATGTTATTAGACAGGGATTTACTAAAATGTCCCAAAGTTAGCTCCATAATCATAATTTATTATCAGTAAAAAATATGCTGTGACTCTTGTGTGACACTTGTATTTTGGGAAAAAAAGGCTAGATTATTAAGGGAATTGCATTAAAGAATTGAAACCATAGTCAAGAAAGACTGCCAGTAGGATGGAGAGGAGGCGCCATCACTCTAACATTCATTGTATTGGGCTGGTCATTTTCTAAATACATTATTATGCAGAATGTATATTGCTTTTGTAAAAGTATAATGATACAATTAGAAAATTATCATTATGAATTATAGTTTAATAAGGTAGGGATTTAATATCTTCCTCAACATAGCTCCAGCAATTCCTCCCCTCCCCCATCACTTCCTACATTGCCATAGAGAGTCCCACAAGTAGGGATGGGGAATTTAATTCATGGCCTTAGGGATACAAAAGTGCAATGACAGGGAAATGAATGTGAGTCAACTGCTTGGAATTAAGATCACTGGTATACTGTGCTAGACCTATAAGATGTTTCAACAAATGCAGGAAGACATTTGATTTATTATCTGTGATGTTTTATTTGTATGTATCATAGATAGAACTACATATATATATATATAAACACAAAATCATTTTAGAAAGTCAATGCTATAAAGTGTGAGGCTTTTAATTAGGGCATTCTAGGTATCTGTGGGACACAATCAAAGAACCAGCATCTGAGATCATGATTGGAGAATAACAGGGAGGAATAACAGGGAGTCTTGAGGCAAACTTTGCCTTTTTCACAATTTTGCCTATGGTTAGT